GACTCCAGGAAAAGTCCGGTCCGGGTTTTCCCCCATTCCCGACTCCAGGAAAAGTCCGGTCTGGGTTTTCCCCCATTTCTGACTCCAGGAAAAGTCCGGTCCAGGTTTTCCCCCATTCCTGACTCCAGGAAAAGTCCGGTCCAGGTTTTCCCCCATTGCCGACTCCAAGAAAAGTCCGGTCCGGGTTTTCCCCCATTCCTGACTCCAGCTGAAATCCAGTCCGGGTTTTCCCCCATTGCCGACTCCAAGAAAAGTCCGGTCCGGGATTTCCCCCACTCCCGACTCCAGGAAAAGTCCGATCCGGGTTTTCCCCCATTCCCAACTCCAAGAAAAGTCTGGTCCATCTTTTCCCCCATTCCCAACTCCAAGAAAAGTCCGGTCTGGGTTTTCCCCCACTCCCGACTCCAGGAAAAGTCCGATCCGGGTTTTCCCCCATTCCCAACTCTGGCCGAAATCCTGACCGGGTTTTCCCCCATTCCCAACTCCAAGAAAAGTCCGGTCCAGCTTTTCCCCCATTCCTGACTCCAAGAAAAGTCCAGTCCGGGTTTTCCCCCCATTGCTGACCCTGGCTGAAATCCAGTCCGGGTTTTCCCCCATTCCTGACTCCAGGAAAAGTCTGGTCCAGGTTTTCCCCCATTGCCGACTCCAGGAAAAGTCCGGTCTGGGTTTTCCCCCATTCCTGACTCCAAGAAAAGTCCGGTCCGAGTTTTCCCCCATTCCTGACTCCAGGAAAAGTCCGGTCTGGGTTTTCCCCATTGCCAACTCCAAGAAAAGTCCGGTCCGGGTTTTCCCCCATTCCCGACTCCAAGGAAAGTCCGGTCCGGGTTTTCCCCCCTTCCTGACTCCAAGAAAAGTCCGGTCCGGCTTTTCCCCCATTGCTGACCCAGGCTGAAATCCAGTCCGGGTTTTCCCCCATTGCCGACTCCAGGAAAAGTCCAGTCCGGGTTTTCTTCCATTCCCGACTCCAAGAAAAGTCCGGTCCGGGTTTTCCTCCATTCCCGACTCCAGGAAAAGTCCGGTCCGGGTTTTCCCCCATTGCCGACTCTGGCCGAAATTCGGTCCGGGTTTTCCCCATTGCCGACTCCAAGAAAACTCTGGTCCGGGTTTTCCCCATTGCGGACTCCGGCCAGAATCCAGTCCGGGTTTTCCCCCATTTCCGACTCCGGGAAACGGCGCCTGAGCTTTCCAAGTTTCCTTCTTTATTCTTTCTTTAGAAAAGGAGTAAAAAGCATTAATGCGCGCACGGGGGACAGGGGGATGGGACGGGGGGTCGGGGTGGGCGGCGGAGCAGGGATGGGGGAGGAGGGGGAGGCCGGAGGAGCCGGGGGTGCCAGGGTGTGCAGGAGGGCAGCGACAGGGGCCAGGGGGAGGCGGTGTGCGGGGACAGCCGGGGCAGAGGGGCAGGAAGCAGGACAGGGACGATAGGGGTGTGCCGCAGGGACGGAGAGGGAGCAGGGCCAGGCGGGGTGGGGGGCCAGGGAGGGCGGGGGGGCAGGAACGAGGGCTGGGGGGGGTCGGGATGTCCCTGCGGGCAGGGACGAGGCGTGTAAGGGACGACCGGGTTGGGGAGGGAGGGAGGAGGGGGTAAGGGGTGGGAGGAAGACAGGAGATGAAGGAAAGGAGAAAGAGTAAAAGAAAAGGCAAAAATAAAAGGTACAAACCAAAGTAAAGAAAAAGAACCGCGGCAGGGAGAGGCCCCCGAGTTCCGACCCTTAAATCCCCCCACCCCGCCCTGCCTCCCTGCCCGTCCCCTCCCCGCGCACCTGTGCGGGCCCCGCCCCGCTCACATGGTCGGGTCTTTCCCCGGCCCCGCCGCTCAGAACCGGCAGAGCCGCGCCCGCCCCGCTGGTGCGGAGGACGCTCTTCCCGGGGCGCGCACGGACCGACCGGCGCTCGGGGCCGGAGCCACGGCCCGGGGGCAGCTCCCGGCGCTGTAATCCCTGCAGTGCATCTGCCGAGCTAATGCTGGGCTGGCTCAGCCACCTGCTCCTCCCAGGCCACCCCCCCCCAGCACAGCCCTGAGCCCCCCCTACTCCCGGGGAAGCAGGAGCAGCCCAGGGGTGTCCTGCTGCAGGTCCCATCCGGGCACGCACGAGGGAGTCCCCACGAAGCAGCAGCTGGGAGAGCACAACCCCTTCGTGCCAAAAGATGTCCCTCTTGCTCTGTGCTGGCGTGTCGGGATGCAGAGCGTGGGAGCTGCTCCGGCTGCCCGTGCCTCTCCGTGCCAAATCCTGCACCCATAGCCTGCCTCTCCCTTCAGCCTGGCTGCACGCAGGGAGTTCCAGGGTGACCAAATGCTCAGCTCCAGAGGGACACTGAGAGGCTCGTTTCGAACAGCACCCTGCCTGTAAGCTTGCAAAAGAAGACAGTTTTGCAGCCCATCTAGCCAACCTGTATTTAACATGGAACACCCGGACACGCCCTCTCCCTCCTCTCTCAGAAAGCAGAGAGCTTCCTCATTTAATTATTCATGTTTTTTTAAAAAAGCTTCCAGTATGTAAACACAGATATTTTCCTCAGGTGCTCTGTGTCTCTCAAATGCTGTTACCAGCATGGTCAGCATCATCTACTGAGCGCATCAGACAGCCTGCCATTTCACTGATCTTATATATTTACTTAAAATATATAGAAATCTGATCATAAACTCCCATTGCACCTCCCTCTGTGGTTTTATACATTTAGCTCTTCACCTTCAAGTCACTTCACCTGGTTGCAGAGTTGGTGTTGCTTGGCTGCTGCCCGAGTTCCCCTCTTTATTCTTTCTTTAGAAAAGGAGTAAAAAGCGTTAATGCAGCACCAACAAAGTGAGACTAGTCTTTGCCTCATAACCGTGCACGGCGAAAGGTTTTGGAGTTCCAAGGCAAACCGTGATATAGACCGAGAGAGCAACAGCCCCTCAGCCCCGCCACGGCTCCCCCCGGGGCTCCCCGGCAGGGAACGGGCTTACCCAGCCCCCGCAGCCCGGCACAGTGAGCACCCAAACACCGCCCAGCTGCCCCGTTCCACGGGCACAGAGCACACGGCGCTGTCCCCCCCGCACCCAAACACCGCCCAGCTGCCCCGTTCCACGGGCACAGAGCACACCGCGCTGTCCCCCCAGCCCCGCACACGCGGCCCCCCCCTCAGCCCTCACGCACAAACAGCGGCGGCCGCGCCGGCCCCGCCCGCCCTTGTACAGCGCGGGCCCGGCAGCCGCTGCCCAATCAGCGCCCGAGCGCCTCCGTCCAATGGCAGCCCGCGCTGCCCCTGCGGCCCCGCCCCGTCCCCCGAGCTGCGCGGCGCCCCTGAGGGCGAGGCGGGCGGGATGTCACACGGGGGGACTCGGGGAGACGTTCCCCCTTTGACGTGGCCGTGGTGGAGCTGGAGGAGGGCGTGCCAGGCTTCCTCCCGCCGTGCCTGGCACACGCCTTCCTCCCAGGTAAACGACGCGGGGTGTAGTGGGGGGAAATCACCCCCTCTGCACCTGTACCCACCTCCTGCCTCCCCCTTTCGCCCCCAGGAGAAGAGGTGAGCGTGGTGGGCTTCGGGGCCCTGGGGGCGGGCGTGCGGCCCCTCGGTGACAGCGGGGATCCTCTCGGCCGTGGTGGCAGTGGAGGGGCAGCCGGTGATGCTGCAGACCACCTGCGCCGTGCACGGGGGCTCCAGCGGTGGCCCCCTCCTGTCCTCCCGCAGCGGGTGCCTCATGGGTGAGCCGGGGGTGCAGTGGGGAGGGGGGTCCCGTGGCTGCCCCCTGGCCAGACCCGGTGACGTGGGCATCGTTCCTCTCCCCGCCAGGGATTGTGGCCAGCAACACCCGGAACCACGGTGCGGGGGCCACCTACCCCCACCTCAACTTCTGCATCCCCATCACGGTCCTGCAGCCCCTTGTGGCTCGGTACCGTCGCACCCGCGACCCCGGCGCCTTCGCCGGGCTCAACTGCGCGGCACAGGGGGTGCGGGCGGCCTGGAAGCTCCAGCGGCAGCCAGGACCCCCCCAGCAAGCTCTGACCCCCCCATCCCAGGGGGCTTGTGCCGTGGACCCGAGGGGCCAAGGTGCCCGGGGGTGGAGCTGCCACGGCCCCTCTTCGCTGTGGGGCCCGAGCACCTGGACCCCGCAGAGCCGGTGGAGGGTGGGCACTCTGGGGCGGGGGACACCACACAGTGCCTTTGCCAGCTGTTGACAGGCCCAGATTGGGGAGATTTGGGGTTTGTATTGTTTTAGGTTCTCCCTGGAGTCATAAATGCTGTGAGTTGAGGTCCTGGTGTCTTGTGATGCTGAGCGGCTTGGGGGGGGGGCTGGTGGAGGTCCTGGCTGGGGTGTGGGTTGGATTGGGGGAGGAACAGGTTCTGCAAGGGACATTCTGGGTCAGGGGTATGGGACTGGGTCGGGGTTAGGGTTGGGGTCCAGGATAGGGAGGGCAGATGAGTCCTGCTGTGGCTCAGGACACTGTGGGAGTGGGGAGGAGGTTATTTTGGGTCCGAGGGGTTCTGGTCAGGGTCAGGAACTGGAAACATGGGGCATATCCTTGGGGTCCTGGAGACTGTCCAACACTGGGGTGGGAGCATATTCTTGGGGTCCTGGAGAGAGTCAGGAGCTGGAGTGGGGGCTCAGTGCTGAGTTCTAGCACCATGTCAGCAGAGTGCTGGGACCAAAGCCAGGGAACTTGGGAGGGGGTCCCTCCCACCCCTACCCACTCCCTCACCGCAGCAGTGCCCCCTCACAGGGGGGAAGGGCACACCACCACCACCTCCCCAGGATCCCCTGCAGTGCCGGGAGGTGTCGTGGGAGGAACGGGCGGGCGAGTGTTTGACACAGCACGGGGTATTTATTTCACAGCCGCTACACAACGCCGGGGGCCGGGGCAGCCACGCAAGCACAACATGGAGGGGGATGCAGGGAGGAAGGGGAGGGGGGAAGCTTCT